TAGCCAGAGATTTGATTTCCGACTCTCTCGCCGAGCCTTGCGAAACAACGCAGGACAGGGGACAAACAAAGGAGCCTGTGGGACGGGAGTGGGGAGCTCCTGGTGATCTGGGCACTTTCTCCTTCATGTCACTGACCTGCCAGGAGCCGCTTTAGGACATGGATCCCAAAGCAGCAAGAGGTACCAGGAAGCGCCGCTGATCTGCACAGACCCCTTTGCCTGCTGCTGCCCCACAGGGAACAGGTCAAGTGGAATGGTTTCCTTCCTCCCTACCCACCTTCCTCTCCTGCAGCAGCTGCTCTCTTCCTGCCACCCTCTCACGGTGACCGCAGTGCCCTCCCCAGGTTCCCCCTCCTCTGCCCTGAGTTTTGCTTCGGCATTCCCTGCCAAACATCCCAACCCTCCCACCTCCCTCTCCCACCCCACCATTTCCACTGCCCTCCTCCCCTGCACATCTCACTTCTCCCATCTGAATCCTTCCCACTGCAGGGAGCTGCTGAGGAGTGGTGTGGTCTATTCCTGGATTCTCCAACCACTGACTCCCCATCCACGTTGACCACAGCCAGGGGCCACATCCCACTGCCTGCCCAGCATCCATCCATGGAGGTGACCACTGTGTCCTCCCCTGCCATCTCATCCACTGAAGGAGATGATCTGTGTGAGACAGATGTCACCAGTGTGGCCATGCACAGTGTGACACTGCTCATCTGCCTCTCTGGGCTGGCTGGGAACGGGGCTGTCATCAGGTCCTCGGGTTCTGCACCCAGAGGGACACCATGAAACCCATCACTGCCTACATCCTTGACCTGGCCATCATCAACTTCCTCTTCCTCATCCTCATGGTCCCCTCCACTCTGCTCTTCCTGCTGGAGGATTTGTCCTGCTCTGCCATCCTGTCCCCAGCATACACAAGCTTCCTTTTCCTCCTCTTTGTGATGTTCTACAGCGTAGGGCTGTACCGGCTGACAGCCATCAGCGTTGAGAGGTGCAGGTCCATGCTCTGCCCACGTGGGCTCTTCTGCCACCTTCCCCAGGACCGGTCATGGGTGGTGGTGAGTGCCGGGCTCTGGGCCCTTTCCATCACTGTCATTGCTGCCATTTCTGCAGCGACTTCCCTGTGCAAGTCACAGGAACACAAGCTCTGGGGGGGGCTCTCATCTCCCTGTACATCCTCAGCTTCCTCGTCTTTGCTCCGTCCGTGGTCATTTCCAGCACAATCCTCTTCATTCATTTCAAGGGAAGCTCCCAGCAGCAGCGATCCAAGAATCTTGACATCATTGTCTTCCTCGCTGTGCTTCTCACTCTCCCCCTCAGTCTCTGGAATTTCCTGCAGCAGCTCGGCTACACCGCTGTGTCCCCCCAGGTTGTTCTCCTGTTTGCCTGCATGCACAGCAGCATCAACCCCTTCATCTACTTCTCAGTAACAAAGTGCTGGAGGCGCTGCTCCATGGAGTCCCTCAGGGAGTGCCTGCAGGAGGTCTCTGAGGAGCCAGAAGAAAGCACTGTCCCCAGTAATGACACCACCAGGGACATTGCCCTGGCTCCAGCCACGTTTATCATCCTGTGTTCCCCTGAGGAGCACACTGGAGCTGGGCTTTCCTCCTCCCTCCTGGGTCCTAGAAACATTTGGCCAGGAGGAGCAGGGACACTGCTGGGGTCCCTGGTGAAGCCAGGGAAGGAGTGAAGCTGTCAGGGTTAAAAAAATCAGCCTTGGGTGGGTTCTGGGGTATCAGAGCAGGCTGCAGGGGTCAGGAGAGGGTCAGAAGGCATTGGAGGGGTCTGGATGGTGGCAAAGCCAGAGGAGTGCAGACCCCCCCGGCTGCTCCGAGATGTCACAGCAGAGATGTCCCTGCTCCCGGCTGGAGCGGGGCTGCCGAGGAGGGGGAAAGAGGCCCCGGGGGGTCTGGGTGTGTCAGAGGGGGCAGGAGGCTCCAGGAAGGATCTGGATGCTGCTGATCCCAAATGTCCCTACTTGGAGAGCAGCAGCCTGGGAGCGGCCATGGCATGGCATGGCACGGCATGGCACAGCATGGCATGGCAATTGGGGTACAGATGGGGCTGGGAAGTAATAACACAAGGGGCTGAAATAAACTTTGAAACACAATGGGAAGAATTAGGAAGCAGGAATTCTTTACCTCCACAGCACACACAGAAGATCTCCCCTTGTTCTGTGTGTGGCAAGACATTACCACAGGGGCTTTATCCATCAAAACCACACACAGCCACCAAAGTGTGTTTCTTATCTAATACACAAACATCACTTTCCTAGAACTAATTTGCATGTGTCCTCCTCCTACTGGGAGTCCTTTCCTGGCCCTGGAGGATCACTCAGAGGGGTCTCTGGTGGTCGTATTCCCTGAGTGCTGAGATATTAAAGGTGACCCTGCCTTGAACTTTTCCTTTGGCCATGTGCTCTTGCTTCTTGTTACAGAACTTGCCCCAAAACCACTGCAGTCCTCCTCATCTGTTTCTGCCCTGGCTCCAGCCATGTTTATCATCCTGTGTTCCCCTGAGGAGCACGTTGGAGCTGGGCTTTCCACCTCCCTCCTGGGTCCTAGAACCTTATGGCCAGGAGGAGCAGGGACACTGCTGGGGATCCCAGGTGGAGCAGGGGAGAAATGAGGCTATCAGGGGAAAAAAATCAGCCTTGGGTGGGTTCTGGGGTATCAGAGCAGGCTGCAGGGGTCAGGAGAGGGTCAGAGGGCATTGGAGGGGTCTGGATGGTGGCAAAGCCAGAGGAGTGCAGAGCCTGACAGGCCACGCTCAGAGTGGGAGAGCAGCAGCTGTCTGGGAAAGCTGTGGATGTGATAGGATGGGGTGAGGATGGAGAATGGGGTGGAAATGGAGTGCAGAGATGATGGATAGGATAGGGATAGGATAGGATAGGATAGGATAGGATAGGATAGGATAGGATAGGATAGGATAGGGAGCAGCTGAGCTCTGCTTCCTCAGGCCATGGGGAAGCTCAGGCAATGATCCTGGAGCTCTTCCTGGAATAGGAGTTACTTCTGAGAAGCACCCAGCTGACTCAACAGCACTGCCAGCATTACTGCCTGCTCAGTGTCCATCCATGGAGGTGACCACTGTGTTCCCATCTCCCACCTCACTCACTGAAGGAGATGATCTGTGTGAGACAGATGTCACCAGTGTGGCCATGCACAGTGTGACACTGCTCATCTGCCTCTCTGGGCTGGCAGGGAACGGGGCTGTCATCGGCCTCCTAACCCTGAAAAGTAGGAACTCTGGTATCTTTGACCTGGCTGTTGTCGACTTCCTCTTCCTTCTCTTTACAATCCCTTCTGCCCTGCTCTTCCTGGTGGAGGACGTGTCCTGCTCTCCTATTGTGCCCCTCCTGTACCTGCGTTTCCTTTTCCAGCTGTCAGTGGTCTCCTACTACTGGGCGCTGTTATGGCTGATGCCCAGCAGACCTGTTGTATATATGTACAAGCTCTGGAAGCTCTGCTGCCACTGCGACGTTCCTCTGCGTCTGAGGTGGTTGGTGGGAAGTGTCCAGTATTGGGCCTTCTTAGCTGTCTTCACTGTCATTCCCACAGTGACATTCCTGTGCCCATTAAAAGAGCAGGAGCACTGCCAGACAGCTCTCATCTCCATGTACACCATCATGCTGCTCCTCTTTGTTGCACCCGTGGTCATTTCCGGCACAATCGATTTCATTAAGGCCAAGCGGGGCTCCCAGCAGCAGCAACCCAAGAGGCGCGACATGGTTATTTTTCTCATTGCGCTCTTCACTCTCCTCCTCAGCATCTGGAATTTCCTGCAGCAGCTCAGTTACATCGCTGTGTCCTCACAGGTTGTTTTCCTGGTCACCTGCATCCACAACAGCAGCAAACCCTTCATCTACTTCTTGGCAGGGAGATGCACAAAACCCTGCTCCATGGGTTCCCTCCGGCTCTCCCTCCAGAGGGTCTTTGAGGAGCCGAAAGAAAAAACAACCCACAGAAATTATGCTGCCATGGTCTGAGCCTGTTGATCCCATCCAGTGCTCTGCTGAAGGACCCCAGGAGAGTGGCTGAAGTTTTCCTTTAGCCTCCTGATGAATAAATATCCACCGGATCACCTTGTATTTGTGGAGTGCCCAGACAAATAAAGGAATGATGAATCTGACTCCATGTTCTCAGAAGGCTGATTTCTTATTTTATGATACTATATTATGTTAAAGAATACTAAATTAAACTATTCTAAAGAATACAGAAAGGATACTTACAGAATGTTAAAACAATAATAATGAAAACTCCTGACTCTCCAGAGTCCCAACACAGCTTGGCCCCAATTGGCCATTGAGTCAAAACAACTCACAACAGAAACCAATGAAACAATCACCTGTTGGATAAACAATCTCCAAACACATTCCAAAGGAGCAAAAGAGAGGAGAAGCAAATGACATAAAATTGTTTCCCCTTTTCTTGGAGGCTTCTCAGCTTCCCAGAAGAAAAACCCTGGGCAAAGGGATTTTTCAGAAAATATGAAAATGACAGGATCACCCTCCCCTTAGTGGTGAATTCCTGCAGGAGAAGGGAGCAGGAGCATTGCCTTGGGTGATTTTTGTGGGATGCTCTGCAGGGAGCACATTGGAGCATGGCTTTCCTCCTCCCTCCTGGATCCACATGGCTCCAAGCAGTGCAGCTGGGCTCAGTGCTGTTCCCCAGCTCTATTCCCCATGGAATGACCCTCATGGCCTCGGCCCCAGGGAATGAACTCCATCTCCTTTGGCTCAGCAGATGAGTTTCATGGTGTTTTCAGGGAGCTCTTGCCTGCAAAGCATGGGACACCTTAAGTCCTGGGGACACACCCAGCATGGAATGGCAGTGATTTCCCAAATCCCTGCGGGTCTGGTGCCTCTGGATGGCGGGAGAGGGGTTGGGATCACAAGGAGCATCCTTCCCCTTCTGTCATTTTCCGGAAGTTTTTTTGTAAGCGTTGGAGTTTTTCTAATACGAGTGCTGTGTTCCTGTCGAAAGCTGTAATGCTGATCTCTGACCATTGTGGGGAGTCGAAGCCCGAAGCGCTGCACAAGATCCGGGAGGGCGGGACGGGGGGGGGGGGGGCGCATCAGTGTCCAGGGAAGCCCTTGACCAGCTCCATCCTGGACCTGGCCACCCTCAGGAGGAGCTGAACAGCGACTGCACAGCAGCTTCAGCCACAGGCCAGGCTGTGCTGATCTTTGCCATTTTGTAACTACCCCTCAATCAGATTTGGATTCATGGTTTTTTGTTTGCCTTACTGTGGACATTCTGGCCCCAGAATTTGTTGAATTAACAACAACCAGGCTTCACTGCAGAGCCTGTGCCTGTTAAACAGTGTCCAAAATGGCTCATTTCCTTATTTTATCCCATTCTAAAGCCTCTGGCTTGTCTGTGAGCAGGGCAGGTGCCTGTCTCATACCAGAGCCCTTCCTAAGGCACGTGCCTGCAATGGTTGGGATGATGTTGGCAGTGCCAAGAGTTCCTCATTCCTCCTGGGAGAGACCTGGGCAGCAGCCACATCTCTTGCTCAGGGGGAAGTTGTCCCTCCTTTTCCCACTGCCTTAAATCCAGGGGAAAGCAATGTGCCACTGCTTCTGGAAAGGGAAGTAAGTGTGAAAGCTGTTGGTTGTGAGTCAGGCTTTGGAGACACACATGAGGTTAAACAGCTAAGGGACATTTATTACCAGAGTTGTTTATAATTAACAGAAGAGAGAGACTTTGTCATCTGAGAGGGTTTCTCTCCCTGTCTCCTGTTTTCCTGTCCACTGGAAAGCAGAAACCTTCCAATGTACAACCTCTTGTCCAGGGAAGAAAACTCGGTTGGGGGGTTTCTCCCAAGGCAAGTCCAGGAGGATCATTGTAGAGAATTTTGTGCAGGAATGGCTCCACAGTATTTATAGCTTTAATTCCCTACAGACCTCAATTCTGCCTCCAAAACCAATAACCAGGTTCCTCCCTGTAGTGGTTCTGGTTTGTCAATTTGAGATTTCGGTAATTTTGAGATTTTTTAGCTAACATCCTAATGAGCGTGGTTCATTTAGAGTTGGTGAATCACTGGTGTATTCACTTCTTGTTGTGAGGTAGGATTAGGAGAAAGGTAAAGTAGGTTTAATACTTTAAAAAGGCATAAAGAAAAGGTTATCAATAGTAATTAAAAGAAAGAGTAATAAGAATCAGAATTAAACTTTCAGGACACTTCCCCTTACACTTTTTCTTTCTTACTGATGATGTAAAGAAACAAAATTTTAGTCAGTTTAATACTTCTAGAATAGTGTTTCTTTAGTTCACATAGGGAGAGAAGTCTCTCTTGTTAATGTTATGGAGACTTCTCTGCAAGAAAAATACTTATCTCATGGTTCTTGGTTTTTTCACAAATTATAGACATTCATGGAAATCTGTAATCATGAAGCCTCTCTTATTTTCTGCAAGTTTTTTTCACAGTCGTGTTTATGGATTATGTTAACTTATGGGTTGACAAAATTTCTACTCAACAAAAAAGTTCTCATTATCTATCTTTTAAAATCATCTACATCTCTAGAAACAAAAATTTATTTTTTCTTTTTTTGTCTAGGTCTGTACAGACCTACTTTTCCCTCTTTTTCTGTTCAAACTTCTCATAGGACCGCAATTGTTTTAACATGTGCTTCCTTTGGTATGGAGGCTTTGTTTCTATATGAATTTGAACTCTTCATCTTTCATGTTTCCATGTGTTATAGGGAAACAGAGTCTTTTCTTTATAACTTTACAAGAGGATTTCAGCCTTAAGATCAAGCTATCTCCTTATCCCTCTCCTCTGCGACTTCACTTCTCCTTTATTGCCTTTGATGTTTTTATGTTGCTTTTTTACATGCCCCTACCTTGTTCCTCTCTCCCACTCGAGGCAGGACTGAGGCACTGAACGAGTTAATATCGTGCTTAAGGCTTGTCGCTGGTCAGGCCGGGCTCGGTGCTTGGGGGAGCTGGGACACAGGGCAGGAGTTGATGGGCGAATCTCCCCGGGCCCCGACGAGGACCCCGGGCGCCCCGCACGGGGCTCGGGCTAAGGCAGAGGCCAGGCTCAGCAAGACGCGACAGCGGCAGGCACGGCTCAGCTCAGCATCGGCTCTGCGGCCTCCCCGGCCCGGCCGGGCGCTGACGGGGAGGCCGGGCCCGCCGGGAGCCCCGGGAAGGGGGCCCGGCCCCGGGCCCAGCGCTGTTAGCTCTGAGCCGGCCAGAAGAGAAAGAGCTTCCCGAGATTCTTCATCTTTAACTTGTGTTTTTCACAGAGCCATGTACAGCTCTCCCAGCAGCGCTGCAGATTGTCAGTTACACAGAAATTGACACCACTCCTGTAGATGCCTCCCGTGCAAAGCCACCGCACACCCAGTGAGGGGGCACCGATGGAGGTGAAAGAG